AGAGAAAGCCCCAAATGGGCTGGTTATGCTGCAGTCATTTTTTCTCCAGTTCTTCATCCTGTCAGGATCCTTGGTATGTGGATGCATGCCTATCATGTTTTTCAAGCCTGTGGGACCAGGACTTGAACTATGGTGGACCCAAGTGGGATCTGGTATTCTCTGTGCAGCACTTAACTGCTATACTAAAGGGCCACCTCAGAGATAGGTACATTTTTTTTTTTTAAAGAACAATTTTATTTGACTTCATTTATTTATTTACTTATTTTAATTTGACCAGAAAGGGACAGAGAGAGCAAGAGCGAGAGTGAGAGTGTGACCGTGTGCACGCGTGTGAGAGAGCGAGAGCGAGAGAGAGTGAGAGCGAGAGAAAGTGAGAAAGTGAGAAAGCAATTCACCAGTTCTGGGACTTGAACCACGGCGGGTCATGTGGGAGTCCAGTGCCCTTAACCACCACGCCACCTGCTGGTCCCAGAGATAGGTACTTTTGACAGAGTCTTGCCATGTTGCAATACTCCTGCCCTAGCTTTCCCATTTACTGGAATCACAGGTACACTCCACTGACCTAGCCTGGTTAGGTTGGTCTAGGAACCAGAACCACTAGGGCCTCTTGTGGAGCTTCAGCTTGTGCAGTGTCACCCTCCTGCTTGTGTCACTGTGGTTGGGCCTTAATATAGCTTTTTAAATATTATATTTCAGAAAATAAAAAAAAAATAGGAAAGAGAGATACCAATTTGTTCAAGTTTCCCAGTACAACTCCTGTTGGGCCAGCTGGTGGTTAAGATGGTTGGATCCCACATGGCCAGCTGCATGGGAGTCCCAACCTGATGGCTTGAAAAACACTCCATGTGCTTTTTCGTGTGTGCCCAAGATCCTAAAAGAAGTGAGAAATGGAAGAGAAGGGATTGCAGCATGATTGTTCCCCATGGGGGGTGTTGTGTCACTCCGTCTTTGGGCTAGCACAAGTACCCTCTCGGAAAATTGAAAAAAAAAAAAATACAACTACTGTTAACATTTTGTTTTATTCCCCCCCATTTTAATTTCATACATATATATTTCTTTTGTTTATTATGATCATAGTGTGTTTGTTTATATTCTTTTTTTAAAGGAAATGTAATGTCATAAACATTTTCTGATAGTCCTCAAGTCTTTATAACCATTGTGTTAATGGCCCCCATAGTATTCAATATAAAGATGTATCTTAATTTACATAAGTGTTCCTCTTTGTTGGATAGGTTATTTTTAAAGTGTTTTAGCTTTTACAACTACGATCTTAGTGAATACTTTAGTGAATATTGTTATTATGTTATTACCACATTTATTATTATTGCTTATGTGTATTCTCTCAGAAGAGGAATTCTTAGGAATGACATCTTTTATGTCTCCTAACACATGCTAGGAAATGATTTTTCAAAGAGAATATACCAGTTTCCATTGCCATCCACAGAATGTAAAACTATTCCATTGTTGCATTCAGTGATATATATTATTTATTTGAGGTTGCTCCATAATTAGGGAGAATATTGTTTTAGTTTAAATTTTGTAAATTGCTAGTGAAGTTGCATATTTTCATATGTGGTTTCTTCTGTTTTTTCTGTATACACAGTTTGGTCCACTTAATTTGATTTATATACTTATGTAACTTTTTAGAAATATAGTAGAGTTTTTCAGTTAAACATATATACACGTGGAGGGGTAGATGGTGGTGCAGTGGCAAAATGTGACTCTGCAAGACAGTCCCACAGAGGAATGTTCCTAGTCCATACCCAGAGATCTCTTTAAGTACACTGGGCCTACATTTTTCCATGATCCAGGGCTGGCTAAAGTCTGGTGGGTGGATTGCAGTGTTGGGACTCTGTTGTGGGTGCTCTCTCTCTCTCATTGCAAGAAATAAATAAACTTACATATATATATATATATATACTCACATATGTATATTCTCAATGATGAATTTCTCTTTTCCCTGTGCTAAATAAATATCTTCATATTAGTTACCCTGGAGAATGGATAATACAACATTATTTTTGTATTTTATGTTGTTATCTAAGTACAGTGTTGAAGCATATTATTGGGGCACTGTTAATAATTTTTCAAAATCCAGAAATTTCCTTTGAATTCAGAGACTTCAATGATAGATTAAAATATATGTTTCAAACATGTTTAAGTATTAGTTTTAAAAAGTCAGAGAATTTATATTTCATTTTCAAACCTTTTTCCCTTTGTAGGTTGGAAAAGAGACTGTTCAAACCACTGAGGATCAGATTTTGAAGAGGGATATGCCACCAGCATTTATCAAGTGAGTAATTAAATTATTATTCTGTTGCTAAGTGGAATAGTCTTCTTGTTAGAAAGAGAAAGTAACTGATTCCAAAAACAACTTTACAATTGAAATTTCACTTTTTTGTCTTTCAGCATAAATATTTTCTACAATTGTTTTAGTAGGCATTTTGACATAATAATTTATAAAACTATGACTACTGGGTTTCGCTTTCCTAAATGAAAAGTATTGAGAAACATATTGTAACTGTAGCATGCATAGTTAGAATTGTGTACTAAACACATTTACTTGAAGACCAGGGAATAATAGCAATATAAATTTGCAAAAACTTGTTACATATTTTAGTAACATTTAAATTTAAGTCATATTTTCATATTTCTTAGGATTTCTACAAATAATTTCTAGACATTTTGGATCATCCTACATAAAACAAGCATCGATACTAAGTTTTGATTAAGGTTTTTTATGTTCTTACATTGACTTTAATTAGTAGTTTTGTTGTTTACACTAGTCAAGTGCTAGGTAAAGACTGATGTGTAAGACCAAAAAAAAAAGTAGAACTCATAGAAGTCAGTAGGAGGGGTCAACAGGTAGCATGGTGGTTAAGGCACTGGACTCTCACATGGCTGACCATGGTTCATGCATCTGGTGGCTTGATTTCTCACTTTCCCTCTCTTTTTCTGTCTGTGTCTCTTTGGTGATTACACATGCCCTACAACAATTCAAAAATAATAATAATAATAAATAAAATTAAATAATTATTTGAACGAAAATAAAAAGTCAGAATAAGCTAAGACTATTAAAAACACCAGAGACTGGGGAAGAGAGGGTGAAGAGAGGATCTGAAAAGTCACTTCAAAAGAGAGAAAATCCAAATCGTAAATAAACAAAACATGTTCTATCTAATGAGTCAATAGGCAAATGCAAATTATTCCTTTATAAATTCAAATCACAAAGTCCAATACTGTTAGATGTTGATAAGGATGTGGATCAGCTGGAATTCTTTTACACTGCTGCTGGGAATGTAAGTTGGTATAGCCACTAAGGCAGTTTGGTATTAGTAAAGTAGAAAATAGGCAGTTCTGCTCCCAGGTATGTTCCTTTGAGATCCATATGGATATGTACACTAGGATCCATATACAAAAAATTTTAAATAGGCATTTTTCAGGATGACCCCATTTATCTGCTTATAGTGGAATAGATAAAAACAATCATGGTATAGCCATAAATTGTTATATAAATCAGTAATGAAAAAGAATGAAAGTTTCTCATTTTAAAATAATTACTTCTATGTTAGATGGATTTCACTTCAATTTAGAAAAAAGGGAATGAATAAGTCTCAAAAATAATTGAGGGGATGAAGGAAGGGTAAATAGGTAGGTAGGTAGGTAGATGTATAATAGAATGATTCCATTTATTTGGAGTTCAAAAACATGCAGAAATAAAGGAAGTTGTTTAGAGATGCCTGTTTATATAGTAAAAAGATAAAGATGAATAAGGGAATATTGATCACCAAAGTCAGAGTAGCGGTGTCTCTGGGAAGGAAGAAGTTTATACTTGGGGAGAGCCACACACGGGCTTTAAAAGTGGTGATTATGTGATAATTTTAAAGTGGTCATACCAGGTTGCCCCTCATCCCTCTGGTAGGTATGGAGCAAGGTGAGGCAGGGAGCAGGAATTTATTTTATTTTATTTTTTTAAAGGTTTTTGTCATAGGGCGTGTGCATTCACCAGAGACATGAGAAGGAAAAGTGAGAGGAAGGTGAGAAATCACCCCCCCATGGGAAATGGCTGTGCCACAATTCCTTCTCTTCCATTCTCTTCCTGGAATTCTGGGCATGCATGAATGCATGCACGTGTATCCAGCATGAGTTTTTTGTTTGTTTGTTTGTTTGTTTTTTGGAGAGGTTTTCTTGCTATAAGGGCACGTGCACTTGCCAGACAGAGAGAAACATAGAGACAGAAAGCGAGAAATCACCCCCCAGGGGGATGGTCACACCGCAGTCCCTTCTCCTCCATTCTTCTCTCGGGATCTTGGGCACGCACGCACATGCACCCGGCGTGAGTTTTAAGCCACAGGGTCTGGGACGCGAACCGCGGTCGACTACATGGGAATCCAGCAACATAGCCATTACGCTAACTCCTGGTTCCCCAGCATGAGTTTTAAACCACTGGGTCTGGGACTTAAACCACAGTTGACCATGTAGGAGTCTAGCACCTTAACTATTATGCCACCTGCTGGCCCCTACAACTTAATTTTGATGCCACTTCCCCCTGCCCCCCCTGAAATTCATGCAGTTTTTTTTCATAATATACATTTTCCATGAACTTTTGAAGATCTGTTATACATGGACTTAGAAAAATTAAAGAGGAGCTTGCCCTAGTTTTGATAAAAGTTTTCAATAAAAGTAGGTAACTAGAAAGCAAAACAAGATTTCATTGGCAACCCTTGGTGATAAGTAAGGCACCAATCCCTATTCTGTTAATTGATAACTTAATGGAGTGAATTAAGCATTTATCTTGCTTTTCCTCTACATACTTTATTTCCAAGTAGCCTAAGAGCTCTAGTTGATGAGAGGAATTCTAAGCAATAAACATGGAAAGAATGACAGAATTAGACTGTCATCATTGTGTAAGTTGTAATTAAACAATTGATTTAGGTAAGGATTGTCAATATATAAAACCACTGAGAAGTTTGAGCCATTGTTATACCATGAGGGAAAAACCTGGTTTCCACTGAGAATAGGTGAAAACCAGTGTATTATAACCAACTGAAAAATACTGAGCAGTATTCAAATGTATATAATGTATTCTGCCATACTTTGAAATGCTCCTTGAAGATAGCATGGTGCACAAACCAAATGTGACTGTGGTTGTCAAATAATTCTGGGGTAAATTAATATTATATAATTTAAAATACAAAGGCTCTTTATGCTTTTTTGCTTTTCTTTAGAATGGAAAATGAAGAAAATAGTACATGCCTTGACATGGGGGTTGGGGGACAGAGAGGAAAACAGATGGAAGCAATTAATGACATCTTTGGAACTGTTGAGTAGGACATTCTTTTGGACTGTTTGGTTGATGTTTAGAAGTTTCCAGGGCATGACCAGCTGAAACTTCCTCTGAGTCTACTTGTACCAAGATTTCTTTTTTTTAAAAAAAAAGAATTATTTTTATTTAATTTTATTCATCATCATTATTTTTTGAATTTGACTAAGAGAGAGAGAGAGAGAAAGGGAGTGAGAAACCAAGCTGCCAGGTCTAGGACTTGGCCCAGTTGATAATGTGGGAGTCCAGTGCTTTAACCACCTGTGCCACCTGCTGGCCCCTTATACAAAGATTTCTAAATAGTGACTACTTAGGCAACATTAAAGAATAAAATAAGTTTAAAAAATTTATTGTTAAATCGATTTCTACTTCTAGACTGTGTTCAAACGTAAGGGCTAGAGAAATCAAGATTCTTGGCTTATAGGTAGGTTTTTACCTGAGCCATCTAATATGTGTTTAAGGATTTTTCAGGAAAGGATATAACATTTTTAGGAGGGAGATCTCAAAATCAAATCATAGGCTATTTGTGTGATTATAAATTAAGGGCATACTGGAAAGTGGGTTAAATACCAGTTAAAAATGATATGTTTGGGCTGGCTCTGTGGTCTAGTGGTTAAGGAAGCTAGATCCCACATGACCAGCTACAGTTCAGATCCCACCCTGGCAGCTTGGAAAATACATGCACTGGGAGTGTGTGTGCACTCCTTAAATCTCAATAGGGTGGAAAAATGGAGAAGAGTTTGTAGTATGATCATGCAGCATTGGAGGATACTTTCTTCCCCTCTTTTTCTCCCTTTGTCTCTCTGGAGAGCACACATACTCTCTGGAAAAAAATATATATAATTATTTGAATTGTAATTGTTGATGAAAGACTTCTAGTGCTCAGGAAATTCCTTCTTGTAAATGTGAGAACCCTTTTAAATATAGAACAAGATTTGCATGCTCACAGGAAGGCTTCCTTTCAGGTGGAGCTAAAGGTATCTGATCACCGGCAGATAGAGTTCATAATTTGCTAATCTTATCCAAGATTGCAATAATAGCCACGGTGTTGCACAAAAGGTTATTATAGGGTTATTATAATGATTGCCATAGAAACTGCCCTGATGGTCATAAACTTCAGGACTGCTATGGTGGTTCTCTACTATTAAAATATGGGTTAGTCTCATTGCATGAGAAGTCATTTATTTATTCCTTTAGAGATTGTCAGCAGGGGAGTCAGATGTACCCATGTTTGTATTTTATATCATCATTATCATCAAGCAGCTGCAGCAGTAATTAATCTCTCACATGGCTGACCATGGTTCATGCATCTGGTGGCTTGATTTCTCACTTTCCCTCTCTTTTTCTGTCTGTGTCTCTTTGGTGATTACACATGCCCTACAACAATTCAAAAATAATAATAATAATAAATAAAATTAAATAATTATTTGAACGAAAATAAAAAGTCAGAATAAGCTAAGACTATTAAAAACACCAGAGACTGGGGAAGAGAGGGTGAAGAGAGGATCTGAAAAGTCACTTCAAAAGAGAGAAAATCCAAATCGTAAATAAACAAAACATGTTCTATCTAATGAGTCAATAGGCAAATGCAAATTATTCCTTTATAAATTCAAATCACAAAGTCCAATACTGTTAGATGTTGATAAGGATGTGGATCAGCTGGAATTCTTTTACACTGCTGCTGGGAATGTAAGTTGGTATAGCCACTAAGGCAGTTTGGTATTAGTAAAGTAGAAAATAGGCAGTTCTGCTCCCAGGTATGTTCCTTTGAGATCCATATGGATATGTACACTAGGATCCATATACAAAAAATTTTAAATAGGCATTTTTCAGGATGACCCCATTTATCTGCTTATAGTGGAATAGATAAAAACAATCATGGTATAGCCATAAATTGTTATATAAATCAGTAATGAAAAAGAATGAAAGTTTCTCATTTTAAAATAATTACTTCTATGTTAGATGGATTT